ATCAATAGACCCAGAGGGAGTCCTCAAGGACTCTCTTGAAAATCCCCGAGAACTCCCCAGGGACTTCCTTAAGAATCCCATAGAACTCCTGTGGGAGTCTTGAGGAATCCCTCTTGAATCCCTTAAAAATTCTCCATGACTCCACAGAGGATCCTGCCGGAGCCCCGTGACAGGACCCCTGCTGACTCCTGTAGGACTTTTTTTCCAGGACTCCTGCGGGAGATTAATCAGGAGTCTTGACTAGGGTGGACTCTTCCTTGTGTAGCTATGCCCAAGAATGGAAATATTCGAAGTTATTTTGAGTGTAAAAATTTTCGTACTTACATGGCAACAAGAGGTAATTCAAGAATTTTCAAGATCTTGACTGTTTAGAATTTCTTGAACTTCTACGTATTCTTATCAAAAACTTGGTTATAAGAAGTTTCACTAGGGATTACTGAACATCAACGTTTCAATTAATTTTGTATGAAGATAAAAAATGTTTCATAGAAGTAGCTTACTTGATATAAACCTTCCACTTCATCTTTACTAAACAAATATGGACATTCACCACTTGCAAGTAAACTACTAAGTGTATCAATAAAATCGGGATCACGTAAATGTTTATTCTAAATAGGAAAACAATAAATTTATTCTTTTTAATTATATTTTCTTGCTTAAACATCAAATTACCGTTAATACAATTCCTAGATGACATCCTTCGACAGCTGTTCGACGAATAACAGCTCTTAAACTATCATAGAATAGACTTCGATTTGTATAATCAATTAAATGTTCCTGAATTTCAGCTAGATAAAATGCTAATCGAACCAATTTCGAAAGATGAGTTCCAACTGTACCAATTAGAAACATATTACTCCTGGAATATCGAGAAGATTATGTTAATATGTTGATAGTACAAACAAAAAGTGACATACATTCCCGAATGAGAGAGAATTCGATGCATTCGAATGATATGTAATGCAATATTTTCTGAAACTGGTAATTGAAATGTGTATAAACCAAATTCTTCTCGATAACGCATTGATACTTGTTCAATCGCTTTTCTTAATTGACTCAATGATTCAACCGGTTGAATTTGTACCTTAAAAAGAAAACTTATTATTATTTTTCATTAAAACTAAAGATTATCCGTAAATGTACCTTAATTTCATTAATAATTACTGAATTTAATGGTCTTTCATAACTTCGTCCTTCTAATGGAAATGTAAAATACATATCCGGCTGTGAATTTGTTTCATCCAATTGAAAGGTCTATAGAAAATGACATTAATATTATGAAAAATAGCAGATATGAAAATAGATAAATAAATTTTACATTACGAAACAATTCATTTAATGTATCATTAAACCATAATGTATCTATTTCACGAACTAATTGATCACCAATAATTCGATTTAATTCATGTTTAATAAATGATATTACAATTGTTGCATTATTTCGATTTTCTACTGATAATTTTCTTAGACTTTGAATAGCTGTTATCATGTGTCTTACACTGAATAAATAATGTTCTCGACCGTGTAGTCCACATGGCTGCAATGTTGTCTGAATACGACCTAATATATCAGTAAAAACATCAACCAATTTTTTCGATAAATCAGATGCTATCGGTGTATTGCCATAGGATAACATGTTCACCTAAATAGACCAAAAATTAATGTTCAACTATCAAAATATAGAATTTATTCGCTTTTTTACTCCAATAACATGTGCGAATATTTGACGAAGAGCTTGACCAGTAGCCGATGGTAAATTGAATATGGCAAAATGACGCTATAGAATATGATAAGAATAGAGTAAAACAATAGTTTTACACTTTGTATGTACATACCAAAAATCTTGGATTTATAAATGATGTTGATGATGATAAATCGGCTGTTGTTTGTGGTGGTGACGTTGTTGCACTAGCAAACACAAAAAAATCTTCAATTTTTCTTGTTTCATATGGTTTTTGTTGAGTTGAAAACTGATGATGATCAATTAACGTTCGTAAAAACTAAAATAAATAGAAAAATGTTTTCAATAAGAAATTGATAATAAATAGATACTCATTAAATTCACCTCTGGTGCATTTTTAAATGTTGAATTAGTTTTACTACACGCTTGTAAATCATCAATAAATAGACAAAATTTTCTGTTCATATTTGCACCATATGTAAAGCCTATAAACAAAACTCTTTTATATTTTGAATATTTCATTATTTTAAATTATATACCTTGACGATGAGAAATATTTGATTCAAGAAATTTTTGTACATCAGCTGAATTTGTTGTAGCAGAAAAATTTAAACGTATTGCCATATATTGTGCTTGATCTAAATAAAATAATTGTTAAATGAATAATACATTTAATAAATAAGAAATTTTTTATACCTAGACTACTTAACATTGTCTCTAATAATTTCGATTTACCGGATCCACTTTGTCCTAATAGTAAAACATTAACTTGTGCAAATGTAGCATATTTTAAAAAATAACTACATCGAGCTATATCAACTGTATCAACAAGAATATCGCCAAACATATCTAAACGTTCATGAATTGTTTCATGTAATTCTTCTACTCTAAAATTAGTCAACATTTTTTTTTTTATAGGATATTATTATTATTATTAGAATATATATATATTTTTTTTCTATATTTACCTTGCTTGCCATAAATCCCATTCACCACTTTCATCCACATAATAATCAAAAACACTTATTTCTCTATCATCATCTGGTAATACGGTTACTAATGTTTTTAATAAATCACTATAGCGTTTTTGTTCATCACTTGTTAATATTGCTTTAAATACGAATGTTAAACAAAAAACAAATAAACGTTCAATATGTATTTCACTAACTAAAGTATGCTCTTTTAATATTGAATCTAAAAATTTTAAACTTATAGTAAATAAACTTGTATCAGAATAATACATTGTTGAACTAAAAATAAATAAATAAATAAAAATAATAATAAATTCGAAAATATATTCGAATTACCGGCATTCATCTTTAAGAAAGTTCATTATTGGATCCATTACTTTATCAAAACTTCGTCGTAAACACTTTAAAAAAAAAGAAGTATATAGAAAGATAATTCATTTCATTAATTATTTTGATAAATAAAAATTTTTAAAATGAATTATTTTTCAAAGATCGAATCGTCTACCTGTTCTTCTAATGTTCGTCGATCTTTTAAAAATGCACTAGCAATTATTTTCCAATCAATTATTGATTTATCAAAATGTATGACAGTCTAAAAAAAGGATATTTCACATATATCTATTACAAATAATATATTCATAGAATATTTTTTTTATACAGCTTTGGCGATAAATGCGGGAGATGCATCAGTTAATGATAATGTTTCAAACATAAATTTAACTTGATTTTGAATATAAACTTTGTCACCAGTTTTTATTTGTAATACGGGTTCATTATCTAATATCGATGGTAATAGATCACACCAGACAGGATTCAATACTCCATCAAAACATATCCAACTTGTATGACAATTCTTTGAAAAAAAAGAAGAAAAAAAAAAAGAAATAAAATAATGGATAAATATAATTCTAAAAAGAAATTTTACTCTATTCGCTTTTCGAAGCATTGATGTTAAAACACCATCTTGCCATTCGTTTGCCAATGTTACATGACCAAGAAATACTGATTCGGATTCAATAGCTAATGGATTTATTCTATAAAGTTTATGTGTTTGTGAAGCTACTTCTTGTGCAAATGATGATTCATTTGTACGTGATACAACATTTGCTTGTGCCATTTGAGTCATAATGTCAATGAATACATCAGCTGCACTAGATTTACCACTATTCGGTGATCCACACAGAATCATATCTATAATAATATAGAATCATCCGTTATATGCTCCCAGGCAGAAAAGAGTGAGCAAGAAAATTTAGCCTATCAAATAGCTCAAGCGTTCGTTTAATCGTAGATTTTTTGGGTCAAATATTAAAATTTAAAATATTAAATTTATAAATTTTAAATATTTACTTCTACAAATACTTGATGATGCGTGAATCATTTGTACACATTTTTCTACCCAATGTTTTGTTGGTACTAGATTCCGTTCAGGAGCTTTATCAGCAATTATTTTTTCGTATGTTTGATTTGTAAATACGGCTAATTTTGATTCATCTCGACCAACAAGTATATCAATCACAAATGTACGAAATGTTTTTGCATCCTAAAAAAGAAATAAACATTTTTAATACTATTTACTACTGTACAATATTATTGTGTGTTCATTCAGAAATTAAACAGAACAACTCACTTCTGGTCTTAAACGTGCGCCTATGATGTCAATCATTGCTTGTGCCAATAATAATTGATCAGATTTTGATCCACTTATTGTAATATTTTTCAAACCTGAACGCTTTAAATTATCTTGAAAGAAAAAGAAGGGGAAGAAAAGAATATCGTTGATGTGTATGAAAATATTTACCATCCAATATCGGTCCTTTTGAATTTGATGATGCCATACTGCTTGGCCTTGAATTGCCACGTTTCTTTTGTGCATTAACGTACTCCAATAGATCAATAAATGCCGGTAATGATATAATCGAGCGTTGGCTAGGATGTCTACAGACACAAATAAATTCTCTTTCGTGAGTTTTTACCAAGGTTTGAATAATCCCTTCTCCCGTATAGTGTGCATCCAGGCGGTCATTTAGTAAAATAATTAAAGTGCTCTGTTTTTCGATATAACTATAGAATACTACCCTTCAAGATACGAGTCATATATTCTCAAAAGAATTTTTATTCGAACTGCTAAAGATCATGAGAAAATAGGCAAAAATTCGCCTTAACGTCTTCTATATAGTTCTGAGAGATGGTCTTCTATTGTAATAATTTTTTTTCGCTCGTTAATAATATCAAAAAGTGCTTCTTACGTAAGAGTAACCTCTATAGAAAATTAGCTAAAATGACGAGAAAGTAAAATTAGATTGTTATATTAAAGTAATTGTTTAAAAGCACAATTCTTCTAATGTTTTTCGTTTCTGTTTTCTTTTTAAAAAAGTTTCTGTCAACACTGTTTTTTATCCAAAACAAGAGACCAAGCCAGTCGAAGGGACATTTCTTTAAAGAAAGTTTTAGAAAACACGGCTTATTCCGATTTTTGACGTTTTAATGACGTTTTAAAACGTCATCTGTCCCGAAAGGGTTAACGATCTGTATAATAAAAAACAAATGTATTTCTGTTTCAAGTCTTAGAAAATCGAGCAGATTTCTAGAGATCCTCTGAAAATTCTACTTGAGAAAAAAAGATTTTTTTATATTATGGAAAGATAAAGTCAAAGTTTTCTCTTCCGAATGGCGAAAACCGTAGTCTTCTATCTATTCAAAAAATAGCCATGAGTTATTCTTTTTCGTTATGTTAAACGTTTAAATATTGGACACACTAACAGTTTTTAGTGTCGTTTGACAATTCAGGTCAGATCCAGTTATTTTCATCAAAACACTGTGATACGTACAAATACATTCTGATTGATTCGTATAATAGGCTAATTTTTTCTGCAATAACATTTGTATTTTTAAAATTATGTTGAAAACATTTAATTCGAAATATTTGTTCATAATCGGGTTTAACTAATGTAATAACACGGAAACATTTACGAATTTCTGGTGGCATCAATTTTCGATATTCGATTGTAAATGGATTACACGTGGATATTATTGACACTGATACTTTGATAGGAATCTAGAATAAATTAATATAATTGAAAGCACATTATATCCTATAACTATGATGTCTTTACAAAGCACATTTAGGAACAGTAATATCTCGTTCAAATCTATTCATCTCTTAAAAGTTATAGGAGATTCATTTTTGTTTTCGTTGTTCAAAACAAAATAACTTACCTCTTTGTTATCAGCATTTATTGCCGAAGAATTTGAGCTTGATCGTAATGCATTTGAAATACTTGTGATATACTGGGTTAAAACTGAAAAAGCATTTAATGTCATGTTTTGTAAATTATTCAAAACACCCCAACATCCATCCTATAATAAGAACAGATTTTAAAACAAAACTAAAAACAATATGAATACTTACCGATGCCAAACCGATCATAAACGATGATGCAGCCGTTGTTTCAACATGTTTCGAACATTCAAATGTTGAAATAAATCTACCAAGAAATCGAGCAAAAGTCTATAAAAAGAAGATAAACAATGGTGAACAAGACTATATGGAATTAGAGAGTACTTACCATAACCGTATACTTTTTACCAGTTGCAGTATCACCAAGCATCATCATTGGCTTTTTAGCATTCATAGCGACCCACATAGCCAAAAAGCATCTTTCAGTCGTTGGTGTAATGCATAGTGGTTCTCGAATACCGTGAAATTCAGTTCCATAAGGAAATGCATCATCTAATACTTGAATTTTTGCTTGAACATTTAATCCACCTTAACGATGTTAAATTTAAATAGAAAATCGAAGAGAATAAAAGTGATTTCTATGACATTCAAATTCTAGTATTGGTACAACTTCAAGGAAATCTCGATATTTGATAGATTTTATCGATATAAGATCGTTAGAATAAAGATCGGATCGGGCGTTCTGTTTGACGCAGACACAAGATTATCTGTCAAAATTCGCTTTCTCATTTATTAAGTAGGCTTCAGGCATGGGCGAGTCCCAGAGGTTATCGAGTCTGAGTCCTTAAAATTTGAAGCCGAGTCTGAGTCCATTTCGAGTCCGGTAATCTTTTAGATTTTTTTTTGATGAGTGTGGTTTATTTCTCTTTTTTAACCTACTGAGCCCTGGATAGATATTTGATTTTTTGAAAATAAGGTTACTTCACATGTCCGGCTCCTGAACAAAATTTTTAATTTTTTGTGAAACAGACGGTGTTGTTATTTCGCTTTTCATTTTTCTCTGTTCATTTGTGTTAAAAGTTGAATAGATCGGACTCGAAATACAAAAACTCAAGTTCGAGTCAGAGTTCTTCAGAAAAATCTGCAGCCCGAGTCCAAGTCCGCCAAAAAGTCTTCCAGTCCGGACTCGGATTCGCCCATGCCTACTAGACTCTCAAAAATGAGATATCACCCTGTTCTCTATAACCTTTCTGCAAATCGAGGAGATCTTGGCAAAAAGTAGTGCACCTACGAAAAAAGTTGGTCATTAGCCAAATAGATCGTTTACATTTCTCGAGAAATGGTTAGTCGGTTAGTTTGGAGAAGAATATGAAACTACCTTTATCATATGTTTGATATACTCGAAAACATTTTCTCCATTCAAAATCTTTCTGAGTTATCTCTCGTCGACGAGAACATAACACATCAAAATTATCCCGTAGATATGCCGCAAACTATAAAAAGAAAGAAGAAATTATGTCAATTTAAAACTGTTCATCTTATCAAACATATTTATTTTATACGTACACAGAGTAAACCATCGAGACGTTGTTTATGTAATGCAAGTACAGGTTGAGATGGTGAACGCCATGTTGAACGAGTAATCGATGTCGGAATTTTTTGTATTAATAATAAAAATCTTTTACTAGCTGTTTGAAGACCTTTACGATCATTTCGACATTCAATAATACCTTTAATAACATATATACATTATTTTTATTCATATTTATATTTAAGGTTTTTTATTTATACCTAATTCAACTTCACGTGTCCATGCGTACAACAAACCGACAATTGATACTTGACACGTATACTAAAGAGAAATATGATGAAATAAAATTAGAATAGAATAAAGTATATAATACAAATTTACTTTTGATACAAGTTCTTCAAACGGAAGACCATTATCAACATCTTTCAAACATGCACCGATATCATTTCTTATTGTTTCACCCACACATTCTTGTAAACGACTTAGCCAATGTTCTACAGATTTTTGTAACAGAATCTAAATTATACATAAAAATAGAAATAATTTAAGTTCATTTAGTCTTATTTTGTTACCGGTCTATGTAATACAAGACATTCTCCATCATCACTTAATACTTGTATAATTTCTTGATGAGCTGTTACAACAAATTCAGTATGAGAACGTGATTCACTACCAATTGTTGGCTAAAATTTAAAATAAAATACTATGTCTAAATATTAAATTCTATAATTATAATACAATTCGTACACGTCTCTCTTGAATTGATTTTTCACTTCTCTCTGGTTCATTATGTAATGGTTGTAATTTTAAATCTCGAATTCCATTAAATATAGATCTAAATTTTTATTAATAAATTTATTTATTTCATTTTTTTATATAATTTATAACAATATTAAAATAAACATTACCTGAAATGTGGTTTAACATAATTAATTGTATCTTGTCTACTTAAAATTGAGATTAATGTTCGATTAGTTACAAAATAAAATCTTGGAAATATTTGTCGTTTTCGTTCCAAATATAATGTTATTGATTTATTACACACTTCTAATTCTTTATGAATTTCTTTTAATATGCCTTTTTTTGGTGGTTCATTTAAACAACATTGTAAAACATTACGAACTTCTGATGATTGTCGCTGTGATTTCAACCATGTTTTATCAACACGAATAAAACGTTTTACTTCTAATGAAATATCCTGAAAAAACATCATTCTATTATGTACTATCATTTTATAAGGTGCTGAATATTTAAAAATTAAGCCAAATTTTTTCCGTTTTTGTTTTTTTCTGCTCATGATTGAATAGAGCTCGTCGATTTATCTAAGAAAATATGAGTTTGAACTTTTATATAACAAATTCTCCGAGGAAAAAAAATGCTCAAATACTCAAATTTTGAAAAGAGTCCAAAAAAAGATTGACTCACTTATTTTTAAAATTGAACTCAATATTGTTTTTTTATCTCTCAAAAATGTTTTTTCGGATGAATTGTTGATGAAAAGCTAAATATAGAAAATCAACTTGTTTCAAAATAAAATAGGGATAATACAATTCCAGATGAATTCTTTTGGATAAGAATTGATCCTTAGTTCTTTTCAAAACAATTAGTGCAGTTCCCGTTCAAAAGAACTGAATTGGTGGTGAGCAGTTCTTTCCATCAGTTTTTAAGGACTACCCTCTAAAAAAAAGAGGTATCCTACAAAACTAAAAAATGGTATCTTGATCCGGGAAAACCCAAATTGGTTCTTATTAGTTTCAAATGCAGACACCCTCCTTTTTTTGGTTTTGTGGACTTAGAAAAGGAGGATATCTGCATTTGAAACTAATGAGAGCCAGTTTTGATTTTTTCCGGACCAAGATACCATTTTTGGTTTTGTAGGATACCTCTTTTTTTTAGAGAAACAGGAGTTCTGCCACCCCTAGTCAAAAAGTTAAAATGACAAAAGAAATTGTTGAAACACGAGTGAACTGGTTGAAATGAGCACGATCTATCTTAAAAACCTATCTAGTATTTAGAGTCAACAGATAGAACATTCTTTTGTATTTCATTCTAATCACTATACTTGTGGGGGAAAAAAAAGTTAAGCATCGGTTTTGAAAAACTTCATTTTCAGTTTTTTTGTGTGATTTCATCAGCCAGTCAATAAAACCATGGAGAGTATGTAAAAACTTCATTAATATGACGTAGATTTCAATGAGAACAGAATTAAGATCTTTGGAAGACTTTCAGAGGGTCTCTGAAAAGCTAGTTTTTTAGAAAAATCTATGGTAAAACGTTTTTACATACGATGACTTATTACCTTTATAGCAGATGGATTATTAAAAATATTTTCTGCTCCAAGCCACATATCTTGTACTTCAAGCCACAATTCTAATATTTCACCAATTGATTTCAATTTTTCTGCCCATGCAGCTACTTCTTCACGCATAGGTTCGATATATTTTGTTGTCAACATTTGAGCTAAACTATCTTCAGCATCCTCTAAATGTTCTAACAAATGTTCAACATAACGTTTTTCTAATAAAACATGACCATAATCTTTATACAATTCAAAATTAAGAATCTAGAGAAAAAAAAGAATAAAATAACTATAAATTCTTTAGAAAAAACACGAGTCAAACCTGTTCTGTCCATTCTTCTTCGATACTACGCATTTTTGTTTCGAGTTCAAGCTCTTTTTGTGCAGAAAAACATATTGCACTTATTTCAGTTTTAAATCTATAAACACAAAATAAATGAAAGTAAAAAATCTCTATTATTCAATTTTTAATGTTTACTTGTCCAGTGATATATCAAGCAAATCGTTTAATTTAAAAATGGATGATTCCAATTGAAATGAACAATTTGTTATGTTCATTACTTTTAACCAATGTCGACTACGAATTTCCTTGAATAAACCGTTATTGTCAGTAAATTTTATTACATGAAGAGAATATTTTTACCATACTTTAGCATTTAGCATAAACAAAATTGGCAATAGATCAATATATTTTTGTAATGCTGATTTTAAATCGTAGTATGCTTGCCAATCTTGTAATTTAGACGGTAATGCACGAAATTCTTTCCACAGAGCAGCCGTCTAAAACGGTAAACAGCAGTCATGTCACTCATCTTTTAATTCATTTTTAAATTGTTAGTTTATTGCACGATTGTATCTGATGGAATCCTGTCATTGTATGGTATCACTACTATACTTTCGTTCGCTCAAATTTTAGCTGAAGAAAACGGGCTTCGATTAAAATCATAGAATATATGGATAGTTTGTAACTTATTAGACATGAAGATATCACGTATCTCACTTTAGCATGTTCTATACAGATAAACAACGCTATTTGAATTCAAATAGTTCATTGAGAAAATTTAAAGTTGCAATTTTATCCAAATTTTCATAGTAATTGAGAAACTTTGTTCTTTTCTGATTTAAGGCCTCTTGGTATAGCATGCATTCCAGTCAGATGGTCTCCGTAAAAAAAAAAGTGGATAAAGCAGATTAGTCTTGAGATAAACAGTAAAACAGTCTGACATTACTTTTCTTTCGTCGTAAGAGAGAAAACTATTAGTAGTAGTCAAGATATTTCGAGTGAAATATCTAATTATACAAACCTCCATTTTGCTTTTATTTAAATCAATATCAGACCATAATGTTGAACGGAAATTTGTATCAAATACAATAAATTTTTTGTATAAAATATATAATTGATCAAGTAAAACCAATTCCTAAAAATGATAATGAAATTATTTAAAAATGTAGTAGAAGACTGTACTCTAATCAGCAAGCATATATATAGCAAGCGAAATGCATGAAGCAAAGTTCTTCATTTTTTTGATTGAAAAAAGTATATAAAATTAAATGTTTTTGTTGCAAGCACGATTATATGAGAAAACATTGCATGCAACATGCTACATTCTTTACTTTTTAGTACATTTAATTGGCATATTCTAGAATAAACAAGTAGTAGAATAATAATATCCATGTTCTATTCTGGTAGTACCACCTCTTGAGTTAAGAAGTTGAAGATCTTGAAACATTTCTTGCTTAAAGCCTTGACCAGAAATGCAAAAACAAAAAGCAGTTTCTGTAGAACAATCGTTTTTAAGATTGTTTTCGTTAGTTTTGAAGAATACGTGAAGATTCCACCTAGATTTAACGGTAATACGGAACATTTAACGAGTTAAGGGCCTCCCCCCCCCCTCAGAAGGGGGGATTTTCGGTCAAAAAATCGGTTTTGAGATACACACATGGAAAGATAGCCTGAAGTGTCTACTTCCAGAATCTGTATTG